AGCAACAACCGAAAATCTCGACCCGAACCTCGAATCACGATTTTTGGCGGCGAGCGAGGGGGGAAGTGAGAAGGAGAAGGCCTTCTCAGAAGGCGGCGGGACTTCTCAGAAGCCCTCGCGCCTTCTGAGAGGTTTTTGCAGTTTTCGGGGAAGGCTTAGAAAGCTTCTCAGAAAGCTGGGGGACTTCCGAGACTTCTGAGAACCCCCCTTCTCGCTTCCCCCCCTCGCTCGCCGCCGAGATCTGTCACAAAGGAACGGGATCATACAGTTATCGTGCTACCACAGAGGGTGCCGAGTGAGAAGCGAAGGGGACCTTCTTCTTTTTTTTCCCGATGAAGACACAGCAGCTGAGGGCCCCTTAAACGCGACCCGGGGGCGAGGAGCCACCCAGACTATAGGCGACAGCCGAACGCCTTATGTATATACACTATGGTACCAGTCCTCTACCCCAAAGCGTTCTGACAGAGCCTGCTGAATACGACATCGTTACAGTTCCCTGGCAAGGACGGAAGCAAAAATTTGAAACGGCCCCGGACTTGGGATCCCGGCGGAGGGGCGGAAGACGAGGAGGAGGAAACGAGAACGGACCGCGGCGCCGTGTGTGCATCAATCCATGGTCAAAACGACCACTTATATAATGAGGCCTCACACAACGAGTCCATAACGGGTGACGCACAGTGCATACTCAGTCAAGCCCGTGCGGCGGCGTGGCTGATAAGAAACAACCCCAGAATCCTACCACGACGGAGGCGGGAGCGGGAAGGGGACGAGTGCGAGGAAGGAGACGGAGCTCCACAAGCTGCAAGGGAGACGCCTGAGGGTGAAGAAGCGAAGGGGACCTTCAGACCACGGCGAGCCTCGGCCACGAATAGGTTGAAGGGGCCCAGGGACACACACATAAATACACACGAATCCCAGGATCCCCCATCATTTTCCGTATCTTTTTGATGTTCTTCTTCCCCCCCACTTCCCATATGTTCGCATATTTTCATGGGAATCAACGATTCACTGTGTCTGTCTGTTTTTTCCCTCCTGATAGGTTCGACTACCTTCATCGAAGAGAACGACCCGACAACCGGAGCCCCTCTGAGCCCAACGTGGTCCTTATTCCAGCGTCTTGGCTGTAGGAGTGCGTTTCTTTATTTTCGGCGATAATTGGCATTATGGGGGGCGGAAGGGGCCGGGGGGGATATAATGTAACGCCCCCCCCCCCCCCCGCGAAGTGCCCGGAGCGCAGTGCCCGATGCGCACGGCGGCAGTGCCCGGAGCGCACTGGGGGGGAGGGGCGCAACGTTATAGGGAGGGGAGGGGGGGCCGGGGGATATAATGCCCATAATGCCCCAAGCAATACAGAAACACGCTCTAGTGGAAACGGGTGACGGCTGGGGGTACAGGAGAGGGCCCAGGGACATTGAAAATTAGGAACAACTCCAGGACCTCCTTTCTCTAGGACCATCCTCATGCGTGTCCGTGCTCGTGCAGGACCGTTGGCCCCCCTTGCCATAGATTCATGCTCAGGCTTTTTGGCACCTCATACGCTCTCGTGCACATGCTCGGGCGTTTTCCTGCATGCGTTGCCATTCTGATGCTGGGGCTTTGGCCCCTTATGCGTTGCCATAGTCTTGCTGGGGCGTTGGCCCAACACAGGTTGTCTTACTCGTGCTGGGGCTTCGGTCTCTTCGTGCTGGCACTGTGACCCTGCACACGTTGCAATACTCATGCTGGCATTCTGGCACCCACTGCGTGATCCCCATCAGGTGTTGTCATAATTATGCTGGGGCGTGGCAAATGCATCGTGCAACCACTGCGGCGAATCCAGGCCATTTGCGAGTAGTTACTTTGCACGTAGTGGAACGCGCTCGTCTAGACACGATCGGGGCACATATGATGACATTAACAAAACCTTTCGGAGGTCCGCGCGGATTTTTCTTGGATTGGCGCTGGAGCCCCCGCGCGCCAGGGAGGGGGGGGCCCAGCGCAAATCCGAGAAATCCGCGCGGACGTTCGGTGCCATGATTTGCTCCTCGAGTGGTACCACGAAGGGATTCCACTGGGCCGCCGTGCACGCCAGGGCTGTCGCAGGAGTGGCGCCGCACCAACTTGGCGACAACGAGAGCGCGCAAGAGCAGACCAAAGTCGGGGGCGGCCAAGAGGGGGGCGTCCAAGAGGGGCGCAAATCATGGCCGGCGGCATGTGCGCGGCCCAGGGGGAAATCTGGGGAGATATCAGGACCCCTGACATGATGTGTACCCCCCCCCTAGTCATCACCCCTCTCTTTTCCGCCCCCGACAAAGTCCAGCAGTAAAGTGTCGCGGGAAAGGTGCCGCCCTCCTGCTCTGGGCAAGGGAGCAATGTTCGCTGCCTCTCACGGGATGCCACCCCGCAGGGGGCAGGATTCGACAGGATCCTCAAAATGCATTGGAGCAGGGGAAGGGGTTAAGGCCAGCGGATGCAGGTACCCCAATCACCAGGCCCTGCGCCGCTGCGGGCTTAGATGTTGGAGGCTCCCTTGCGCCCTAAGACTACATCGGGGACGCTCCTCCTTCTTCTCCGTCCACTCCTCGGGCATTCCCACAAAGGCGCCCCTGGCCGACGGCGTCCCTCAGCATGCCCCAGGAGACCCAGGATTCCAGAGCACCCTTCACGAGGCCCACAGGACCCAAGCGGCCCACAATGGCAGGAAACAGTGGAGACGTGCCAGGAATACTCCTTACAGGCTCCAGGTCTCCTCCATGGGAAACATAAAGATTCCAATGCCGCTGCTTCCCAGATCTCTCCTGGCTGCGCGTCCTGACCAGAACTCCGAGGCGAACCCGGCCGCAGCGACGAGGGCAACTCAGGACACCCGAAGTGGCGAAAACAAACAATGGCAGCGGCGGCGGTGATACATCTATATATACGTGTATATCTATATATATATTTATTTCTATATATCTATCTATCTATCTATCTATCTATCGATCTATCTATCTATATATGTCTATATATGTATGTATATATATATATATATATATATATATATATATTCCTCTTCCTATATTTTTATAAGCCCGGGCGGGGGGGAAACCCATCACCCCCTCCCCCCCCAAAAAAACCGGACTCCCGGGACCTGGGGCTTTGGGGCCCTCCGGACGGGCCTCGAAGCGGCCACCGGGCCTCGCAAGGCGTTTTGCCAAGCCTTCCCAGCACACTTAGGGCGATCAGGGGGGTCATCGGAGACGTCCCAGAGACCCCCAAAACAGCACAAGAGCGCTCCGAGAGTGACCGACGTGACCTCAAGATGGCCCAAGAGGCCTCCAGGACGGCCCTAAAGAGGCCTCCAAGAGCACTCCCAAGAAGGCCCCCCGAGGCAAAAGTCATTAATTTTCGATGGGTTTTTGGTGGATTTTGGGGTTCTCCTCTTTTCGGCTTCCCGACGCTCCAAGACGGCGGTCTTCTGGGCGTCCGAAGCCGCCTGGGAGGCTCCCAAATCGCCCCACAACCATCCGAAAGGGCTTCGGGCAGTCCAAGAGAGCCCCAAAACGGCACAACACGGGTCCAAGATGGCCCTCAGAGAGCCCCATGGCCGCCCAATATGGCCCGCAGACACCCTCCGAAGCATTCCAAATCGTGACCCGGTCGTTCAGGGAGACCGCGGTTGGAGGCAGGGTGGCCCGAGGAAGCCCCCGGAGGCCCCCAGAATACGCCCAGAAGGCCTCCAGAAGGCCTTAAGAAAGCCCGAAACAACTTTTGTGAGGCCCCTAGAGGCTCTCCAAGGAGGAGCCTCCGCAAAAAAGAGCTGAGGAGGATGGGGAGAATGCCCAGGGTATGGCGAAAATAAGGAACAATAAGCATGGAGGAAGGATAACGAATAACATCATTATAGCGGTGATGCCGGAAAAGGCAACCAGGACTTATCGTTGAATTGTCGGCTTGACTTTCCTACCACTCCGCCTGCATACCAAACTTCACGGACCAACGTGCGCCACTGCAGTCTTGTATATATATATATATCTATCTATCGATCTATCTATATATATTAATATATATATATATCTATATAACTATATATCTATCTATCTATATATCTATCGATCTATATATATATATATATATATATATATATATATATATATATATATATATATCTATATATCGATCTATCTATCTATCTATCTCTCTATATATATATATAGATGCTCCACCCGAGGGCCTGACCAGAAGGCGCGAGGGAGAGGCGAGAGAAGAGGGAAGCCCCGGAGCTCTCGCCGATCTCTTTCACGAATCACTCCAGATCTGGCAACTGGTCGCCTCCACGAGGCAGTCTCGCTAGAAGAAGGGCTGGCTGAATACAAACACGCCTGCAGCCTCAGAGAGGCTAAACGATTCAAAGGCTCCCGGGAGCTCTGAAGAGTAGGTGAGCAGACGATTTGAGAAGATTCAGAAGCCGTCACCAAGGAAAAGGCCTGCCTTTTTACACAGGGCAGGGTGGGTGGGTCACTGTGAGCCAAAACGATTATGGAGGAGGCCAGGGGAGGAGAGGGAACGCATCAAGACATTCACAACCTCCCCTCAGGCGGTGGAGACACGAGGCGTCACCACGGGTCAGAAACTGTACTCCGAATCTACAATCGTGCAACTGATGAATAGATGCTCCACCCGAGGGCCTGACCAGAAGGCGCGAGGGAGAGGCGAGAGAAGAGGGAAGCCCCGGAGCTCTCGCCGATCTCTTTCACGAATCACTCCAGATCTGGCAACTGGTCGCCTCCGCGAGGCAGTCTCGCTAGAAGAAGGGCTGGCTGAATACAAACACGCCTGCAGCCTCAGAGAGGCTAAACGATTCAAAGGCTCCCGGGAGCTCTGAAGAGTAGGTGAGCAGACGATTTGAGAAGATTCAGAAGCCGTCACCCATAACCCATATTATGATTCACGGGTGGGTGGGATGGGCAAAACTCACAGAAAAAAGATCGTAAAAGCCTCCTCAAAAAACTGTGATCAGGCGCTAGTCTGGAAACGAACTCCCGTGGCGCAGAGCAGCTTCTGTCTGAGGCGGCTGGCGGCACGCTTGAACTGCTGCTGCTGTGCAGGCGAAAGGCGGCTGATCTGCCTCAAGAGTCGTCCCTCTCTGCCGTACCTTGCCACGGAGCGGTCGCTGAGCCAGCCCCCGCGCTTCTTCAGCACAGGGGGCGTGGCAAGGCCGTTCAAGTAGTCGAGAGACGGGCCACCGTGTCGCAGCGTGTGCGGCGACACCTTCAGCGCTGCCAGCCCTAGTCGGTGGCTGGCCTCGCGGAACAGGCGCTCGTAGGAGGACAGCTGGAGCTCGTTGAACAGGCGCTGAGTACGACGTGCACGGGCTCTGGCAACGAGCTGTCGAACAAGTTGCCGAAGCCAACCACGAGATGGGTCGATAGACCCAACCATCACGGTGTCGTCAAACTGCTGATTCTTGTTGGGCCGAGGCGCTGGGCCACTCGAAGGGGCAACGATCAGCGCCACCTTGTCATAGCGGTCGCCAGCCCTACCTGAGGGCAACACCACGTGCTCGAGGGACAGGCTGACCGCGGCCGCTGGGCGAAGGTAGGTGTCGAACTGCAAGGCGCCGCAGGCGGCGGCAAGGATGGACTCGGTCGTGCCCAGCTCGAGCCAGTGGTCGGCGATCGCGGCGAACACCTCCCAAGGGCACGGGTCACGGCTGAGCTCTGGGCAGGCTTTCACCCAGCCCGCCAGAGCTTTCACAGCATGTGGCAGGTTGCGCGAGGGCGCAACGATGCCATGCAGGTGGGCGTAGCCGAACAAGGTGTGCCGACCAGCCCACGGCTCACAGCCGTCGAAGAAGAGAAAGTCAAAGTACGCGGAGAGGCTGGCGTCCAGCTGCTCGAGCGGGGCCAGTGCCCGGGGTGGGGCTTGTTGGCTGGCCCAGCGGACGAAGTCCGACGAGCACGTCTCGTAGTTGACCAGAGTCCCCTTCCCGACGGTCTTGCGCTCCAGGAACCGGTCGCCGGGGTCGTGTCCCGCGGCGGCCCGGCGAGAGGCCGCCTTAGCAGCACGTCGTCGATCTCGATCTGGTAGCTCCGCGTCGAGGACCGACCCAGACCACGCGCTGGCCCCAGTGCTTGACGGCGTCCTTCCACGGGCTGCGGTAGCACCTGGGGCAGTGAGGCCTGAAGATGTCGGTCGGGAGCGGGCAGCCTCCGGCTCGCGCCAAGTCAGCTTCCCATTGCTCCAGCGAAGTGGCATCGGCCCCGCGGGCCGTATCTGGAGCCGCCCGGGCCAAGATGGCTGCCCAGGAGCGGCAAAGTCGCGGAGGGTAGCGCCCTGCCAGAGTCGTCTTCCAGGCCCACCGCCCTCGAGCCTCGCCGGGCCCTGGAGGCAAAAGTACTTTTCCCTCAAGAATCTCATGATGATGGCTTCCTGGGCATAGACGATGTAACCCCTGAAGGGCATGCATGTTGGCGGCCAGGAGGGTCGGCTTGAGATACCCTGCACCGTACGCACAGTTATCGTATCGGACAAAGATTGCGTTCTGCCTCTGCAGCTCCTTCCTAAGGGGCCTCCGGGAGAAGAGCCTCGAGGAACGCGGGTTCTCGAGCGAGTAGTAGACGCCATACTGATTGCAGAGTTTGATGAGCCCCAACGAGAACTTGGCCAACTGTAGGCCCCCAAGAGTGGCTGAACTTGAGCCCGTCGTGCGGGCCCTTGACCAAGTAGTGCACGGAGTCCCCAAGTGGAGGTACCACACGAGCCCCTGCTTGACCAAGCCCTTGATGTGCCTCTGGGTCCTCTGCCTCGTGACGTCCATGTGGGGGCCCCTCGAGATCTCGATGGGGCACCTGATGTTGAGGTCGGCCTCCTGACAGGCGGCGGAGAAGGCGGCGCAGCCGGCGAAGATCTCCACGACGAACTGATGCCGAGCTGACGTCCTGACGACAGGGTTGTTGCTTTTTCTGGGCTGCTCAGTCCGTGCTCGCGGGCCCCGCTGGCGGGTGCGTCGACGGGGCCGCGCTGCGCCTGGGCTGCATGGAGCGGCAAAATGCTCGCGAGGCCCCATGCGCCCAAGAGGTGACCGCCGCTCGGGCGGAGTCCGAACCCTCGTAGGGGTCGGGAGGGCTGCGGACGTCTGCCGCGGCCCCATTCGCCCCAGCCCCGACCGCGAAGGCGGAGGTCGGCGGACCCGAGCGCTGGGTCGGGCTGGGGGCGAGTCGGGGGCCCGCGAGCATCGCTGCAGCACCGCTCGGCCGTGCCGGCCAGCGACGGAGCTCCCGGCGGCCAGCTCGCCTCGGTCGGCTGCCCTCGAGTCGAAGTCGGTCGGGTTCCTCTTGCTCTCCACGTAGCGAAGGGACCAGTCGAGCTCGCAGCCGATGGAGAGGGCCCCGGCGCGCTGGCACAGGCGCCGAAGGGCGAAGCTGCCTGAGCGCCCCTTCTCGAAGCTGCAGAGGCTCGAAAGGTTGTCCCCAATCGAGAGAACTCTCTTCCCGTGGAGGCCGACGCACCTTGAGGCCCGCACCAGGCCCATGAGCAGCACCCGGCCCTCCTTCTCATGGATGACCCCGTCGTGCTGCCACGCGCCCTTGATGACCATCGCCCAGCGCTTGCTCGCGAGCAGCGCGTCGGGCAGCGGCGGGATCCCCACCTCCTCGGCTGGCCGCTCCACGGTCTCGATGTCGCGCCATGGCCGGCAGCGAATCGCAGGTCCGCCGCCGAGGTCACGGGGGCCGCCGCCGAGAGACCCCGCTGGATCCGGCGAGGCTCGCCACTCGGCTGACCAGCCGCCCACGGCCCCCCAGCCGTCGTCGCTCCGCTCGACTGCGTCGAAGCGCCACCGCTCTCGGCAGCGTGCCACGGCCCGAAACTCGGGCCCCGAGACGGAGGTGACGTGCAGCGCGTAGCCCACGGCAGATGAGTCGCCACAAAAGGCGATGCTGGCAGGCTCTGCGCTGAGCCGGGCCTCGGCCAGGAACACGAGCCAGGAGGACACTTCCAGCTCCCACCTGACGGACGCCCACAGGCGAACCTCCTTGCCGCCGCTCTCGGACATGAAGGACCAGACCTTGTCGAGCACCGAGAGCCCGAAGCGCAGCAGCTGGCAGTGGTGCACGATGTGGCCGACCAGGACCTGCAGCACGAGCCCGCTGCAGCGGCCTCGGCGCAGCACGGCGCGCAACGCCAAGTGGAGACGCCAAACGCGTCGAGACTTGGGACGCAGCAGACGACGCCGACCATCAAACTCCACCCCCAGCAGCTCGAGCGTCTCGGCGGGAGAGTTCTCCTCATGGTAGTGCAGCCCGCTCTTGTCGAGGTCGCCCTTGACGGCGTCCAGGGCGCGCTGCGTGGCGGCTCGGCTGAGCCCGATGACGTTGGCGTTGTCAACGTACGGCAACCGGTAGGCCAGCTCGGGCCGCGGTGCCTCTGGTGCGTGCCGATCCTGCAGCAGGCTTGTCTCCGTCCTGCCCGCCTCGGAGGTGATGGCGTGGCAGAAGTGGAGCGCCCACTTCACGGATTTTGCTGTTACGACGGTTATAAGTCACTTTGAGTGACGATGCTAACTAGTTGCGGGTGGTGTCTCATATCATATTATATCTCGGGTTACATCATCCGCTATCTTTTTTGTTTTTTTTCTCAGCGGTTTGCGATGTGCAACATATCGTTTTCTATATTTTTGTATCTTTTTGTATCTTTTGAGCTTCTTGAGCCCTGCCCACGTGCCAAGCGTCGGCGGTTCGATCCAACGGGGAGCGGCGGTGGAAAGGGGTGAAATGAAATGAGGGAAACAGTGATGATGCCGTGCCCTTTCTCGCTTTACATGTCCTTCTTGCCCCGCCCTCGCGTGCCCAACAATCCAGCGCGGTTTTAAACGCCCCTCCCTCCGCCCCGCCCCGCCGCAGGCCCCGCGGTGCGTTCCGCCGAAGGCCGCATTGGCCCATACTCCACATGCCTGCGTTTCTCCCCCCTCCCTGTCTCCACACGCCCCCCGCCCCGCCCCGCTCAGTTCGACGCACCTCTCACGAGGATCGTGCCGCCGCGTGGGGTTTGATGCGTACAGTTACGTTACCTTTAGCATCATATTATTGGGTCCTTCGCCACGATGTGTTTTCTGTAGGTGTTTCGGTTCTGGCGTTTCTGTAGGTGTTTCGGTTCTGGCGGGATGGAGCCGCCGAGGAAGCGCCCTAATTTATTAGCTAGATGTGGCATTTCAACGTCGCTCGCAGCAGTAAATCGCGCGGTTGCCGCCGCCAAAGATGAGGACGATTTGGACCATCCCCAGGATTTGCGGCCGCAACTGGTTAAATATATTAACGGTGTCACCACAAACTACGGCGGTTTGTACGAGCGTATCCAGGTTGAGCTCCATGACGGCACATTTGTGCCGATTCAGTTGATAAACCCATTCGCTCTTCTAGCTTGGCTTACGTCACGTTGCCCAGATTTCGCCCAATTGTTAAGGGATAGCACGGTAGGTACTAGCGTTGCCAGCATTGCATTCTGGTCAGACGAGACCACCGCGGGCAATCAGCTTCGCCCAGATTCTGTTAATAAGTATCTCGCGGGATACTGGACAATATGCGAGTTGCCAAGCTGGTTCAGATCCCAAGATTTCGGGTGGTTTCCAGCAATTATATTGGAGTATGACATGCTGACGTCCATCCGTCACAAGTTAGGAGGCCTTCTGAAATATGTATTTCGAGCGTTTTTTTGTGAACTCGGCGTCGCGAAGTTTAGCTTTCCCAGCGGCATGCGCCTCCAAGATGGCCGCGGTAATTTGTATGTGTTGCGTTGCAAATTGCATTGTTGTATCATGGACGAAAAAGCACATAAGGAAAGCAGATCCACAAAAGGAGCTGCAGGGACATGCTGCTGCGCGATATGTGCCAACATTTTCAACGGCAGCATCGAGGCTTGCGAGGGCGACGATTATATATACCATTACAAAACAGCGACACCAGATGTGTTCGATAAAAAGACGGACGAAAGAGCTTGGGAAATTGTGGAGGATCTCGTTGCAAAAAAAACAGTGCTCACCAAGAGGAAAGTCTTGACGCTTCGCGTATCCCAACCAGCACATCCAAAAACGATGCCCAAGCGAATTGCGGTGATCAGGGAAGTGAGGGAGCATGCAGAGTAGCAAAGGGTTGGGGGACCCGTCTTACCCAAGAGGGCGAGGATGGAGGAGGAGTCGGAGGAGGACGGGGAGAAGGAGGGGGAGGAGGGGCAGCAGGTGGGAAACAATGGAGGAGGGAGGAGGGAGGATGGGGGAATCGGCGGATGATGAGGAGGAGGGATAGGAGGAGGAGGATGATGAGGAGGGGGAGGAAGAGAAGAGGAAAGGAGGAGGAGGATGAGGAGGAGGATGAGGCTGATAAAGTGGAGGAGAAGGAGGAGGAGTAGGCCGACAAGGGGGAGGAGGAGGAGGAGGAGGAGGATGAGACAGATGAGAAGGATCAATAGCAATGACGTGCACAAGAACCTCCTAGGATGTCCCTTGGAAGTTGTTTTGGGGTCCTCTTGGAGCGCCTGGGGGATTCTTGGATGCCTCGGGGATCCTCTTGAGGCCCCTTGGGGGTCTAGGGAGCCTCTTGAGGGCCTCTTGGGGACCTCTTGGGGCCTCCTGTGCGCCTCTGGAGGTCCTCTTGGGGCGCTCTTGAGAGCCTTGGGGGCGCTCTTGGGGCCATCTTGGAGGTGATCGATCAAAGGAATGGGTGTCCCCTAGTTAGCGCCCCCCTCGGGAGCATCTAAAATCACATCTTGGACCCCTCTTGGGACGCTCTTGGGGCGCTCTTGAGCGCTCTTAGGGCAGTATTGGGGCCATCTTGGGCCCCTCTTGGTGCCCTCTTGGGCCCTCTTGGAACCATCTTGGGGCCTCGAATGGGCATCGGAAGCGAACAGGCGAGAACGCAAACAACATTGATTTCCCTTAGGTTTTGGATCCATTTTGGCATCTTGGGGGGGGGGGGGGGCTCCTTGGAGGACTACGTGGCCAATCCCACCAGCCCTCTGGGCGTCGGTGGTTTAGGGGTTTACCCCTCCCCCTACCCCCCCCCCCTGGACCTGGACGGGGGGTGGGGCCGCGGGTAGTTGGAGCGTCCAAAACGGCATCGGCGAGGAAACGAAAATCATTGATTTTACGATGGTGGTCGCCCCATAGGGGGGGGGGAGGGGGCGGCGTGAATTGGGTGACCCCCTTCGTTGACCGATCTCCTCCAAGATGGCCCCAAGAAGAGCCCAGGAGGCCCCGAGATGCCCCAAGATGGCCCAACGGGGCCCCCAAGAGGCCCCCTGGAGGCCCCCAAGGAGACCCTAAGCGACCCCACGAGGCCCCCCCCGTGGCACCCAAGACCCCGAAGAGCACCACAGGATCGCCAAGAGACCCCCAAGACGTCCCAAGAGGCCACCAAGAATCGCCCAAATGATATCCCTAAGAGGCTCCGAGAGGCATCCAAGAGACCTCTGGCCCCTGTGCTTGCCCTCCTCCTCCTCCTGTTCCTCCTTCCTGCTCCTACTCTTTCTCTTCCTCCTCCTCCTCCTCCTCGTCCTCCTCCCCCGCCTCCTCCTCATCCTATTCATCCTCCTTCTTCCCACTCCCTCATCCATCCATCCATCCACCTCCTCCTTCTCCTGCTGACTCCTTTGCACGGTTCGGCCGTCCTCCTCTTTGCTGCCTCACTTCCCTGATCACCTCAACTCGCCTGGACGTCGTTTCTGGATGGGCTTGTGGGGATACGCGAAGCGTCTAGAATAGGAGTCGTCTTGGGGCGGTCTTGGGGCCTTTTGGAGCATCATCGGGGCCATCTTGAGGCGTCTTGGGCTGTCTTGAGCCATATTGTAGGTCATGTTGGGCTCTCCGAGGCCCTCTTGGAGCCATCTTGGGCCATCTTGGACGCTCCCAACTACCAGCGAACCCCCCCGTCCAGGTCCAGGGGGTGGGGTTCGGGGGAGGGGTACACCCATCCCCGAAGGGTGAGAAGGGACGATGGAAGAGGAACCTCACTGAACCACATACGCCCAGAGGGCTGGTAGGATTTGAACTTTTAGAGCAAGTATACGGGCTCAATTTCGAGCCTGGTGCGTTGGCGTTTGATCTCTCGTTGAAACATGTTTATAGGCCGATCAGCAGCTTGTATTACGATTGGATGCATTGCCTCCTGGCGTCAGGAGGCGTATGGCAATACCATTGTAACTCATTCTTGGGGGAAATGCTGAAACATGGAATTACGCTTAAAGACATGGACGATTTTGCGTCAGATATGCTACGGCATGCTGAGACCAGCCCAGAGTACCGCAAGCTCCAGGTCGATTTTTTTCAGAAGCGATACGTCCACCAATCTGCAAAACATTCACGTTTTTTTGCTAGCGAGGGTCTTGTCGCATTAAAAGTGATAGATTATATGTGAGCCTTTCGGCACCCGACGGATCGGGGGGAGACGAGGAACGGAGGGCGACGAGGAACGGAGGGCGACGAGGAACGGGGGGGCGGTGGCGGGGGGGGAGGGATGAAAGGACGAGGGGGCGGCGGAGGAGGGGGGCACGCAGGAGAAGGAGGAGGGATACGCGGAGGGCACCTACGAGGAGGAGGGGGAGGAGGAGGAGAAGGAGGAGGAGGGGAAGGAGGAGGAGGAGGAGAAGGAGGAGGAGGAAGGGATAGGATTTGTTTTCCCGCAAGTCGTGCCATGATCTGGCCTAACGCCCCGCGTGCACCCCCCCCCCCATCTCCCCCACCCGCGCGCCCCCCCCTCCCCCCCCCCACCCCCCCCCCCCCCCCCCCCACCCACCCACACGCACGCACACGCACACACACACACACATGCACCACACACACACACACACACACCACACACACACACACACACACACACACACACACACACACGCTCCCGCATCATCAGCCTGACTGCTCGCCTGGGCGCGGGCTGGCGGTTTTTTGCCAGACTGTATTGGATCCCAAAGGGAGGCTGCCCGAACATAGTCGGGCCGTTCACGTAATGTCGCGTCTCCTTAACATTCTTCACCTAGGCGACGAGGCCGTCCCATTGGCAGGTCGGTTCGATACCCTGTACGCGGAACACCACCAGCTCATGATTGAACTTTACGGGCTAGATAGCGTCAAGCCCAAGAGCCACATGACATACCACATTGGCGATCACCTTCGGGATTTTGGGGTTAACCTGTCTTGTTTCAGTTGCGAGCGGCGCCTCAGGCTCGTGAAGGGCGCTTGCCTTCACGCTTCTCGTTTGCCGATTGGGGCGCGGTCGGGGTCTGTAATGAACAGGTTGCTTCTGGACCTTGAGAGCAGGCTGTCGGAATCCCAGTGTAAGAAGTTTTCGTTGAATGGCCCGAGGCATGAGGATCGGTCGTTAGCCGAAGCTTGGCCACCCCGTGACCGCCCGTCCACGGTAGTCGTGGCAAAGGGCCTACACTGGCCCCGCGGCGTGTTGAAATGTGGCCACATTATTTCAGCCAGCGAGGCAGTATATGGAAGCAAGTTTTTTTGTGCGTCGGTTTTCGTTGAGGCCAAGTGGGTGATGTGTCCCGATGCCCCTGTGTTGTGTTGCTTGGCCAAACGCATGGTCCCTTCGCTGACAGACGCTGCCCTGTGGCAGCACTCGGATGAACTTGTGTGCATTGACGCCGAACACATAGCTGGGGTACACTTGGGCATCCAGATTGGCACGTCGTTCCACGTTCTCTCGCCAGAGTATTGAAACTAAAAAAGTGTGAGCTAAAAAAGTGCGAGGGTGGCTGGGAGGTACGACCGCCGCCAGTGTTTCAGCAGGTGAGGCTCGCCCGCCTGTAGAAACAATGGCGCCGACGGCGTTGGCCCTCCTCGTGCTCGTCCTCGTCCTCCTCCTCCTTATCCCCCTCATCTTCCTCTTCTTGCGGGGGGCGCGGTGCGAGCGGGGACTGCCCGGCGTTGCGCCGTTAGTGACCCTCGCACCGT